TTAGAACACAGATTTAAATTGTGTTTATTTAAAGCTAACCACCTGGTAACAGATTGTGCTCCTTTAAATATAGTACATAGTACATAAACACAGCATGTGCAATAGAGCTGAAGATCTGAAAGCATTTTTACTCAAGTATATGGAGGAGTTTCCAAATGAACCATTATGATATTCACTTGGAAGACTTCTGAGGGTGCTTTAACTGATTCTAAAGTAGCTTCAGAGTCTTACCTCATGCATATGCTCGAGGAGCACTGCATATCATAGATACATTTCTCAAAGAACCTTTCAAGAAGTTGAGAACCAAGCACACTAAGGTTAAGTCTGAGCTTCTGTAGAGAAAATACACATGGATCAAATCAATACACTGACTTGAGGACTAAGAAAAACAAAAAGTAGCATTTAGCAGACAAAATATTCTACTTAAAATCCATGGTATAACTGTGCTTTTAGAGAATATGAAGGTGGATGGGTTAAGGCTCCTAGTTCCAGAAATGTAGCAATTTCAGTTAAAGGGGGTAAAGAATTTGTCAATACAAAACCGCCAGTGCAGAGGGAATTAGGACCCCTCCTAAATTAACCTCAGTCTAGGGTCTAATGTGAACATGGACCTCCTCATAAGTAGAGACCTCTTCAATGCTGGAGAAAGCTCTGCACCCAGAGTACTTTCCTCAATGTTTATGCAAATAGGGCAACTCTTGTTTGGGATGAATTCTGTGTGAGCAGAATTCTGGATTACACAACTGCATGAAACTTGTTACCTACTAATATCCTCTCATTCAGTGGCACGATTACAAGACTAAGTTTTTAATGCCTTCCATATACAGTACTATATTCCTATAGCACTAACACAAAAATGAAAATAATTTTGGGAAGGTGATGTCAATGGTAAGGGGGGGGGGAAGTAAGCAGCTTAATACCATTTTTATTTGATACTTCAAACTTAGATGTGCACAAAATGACTCTGTCTCCATGACTGACAAAATGACAGAATGATGTGCTTAATTTTTTTATTTCATTTTATATTTTAATATGGATAACAGGAATTATGTACGGACAGTCTTACACTATGCGCTTTATAGCTCACTCATATCTTTATCTAAGGAAATAATTTAAGGGAGGCACCATGGGCTTTGAAAGGAAATTAAAATGTGCCTGCTAATGTAGCATTAATTTCCTTTCAACAATTTTGCTTGGATCAAGACTGAGCACTGTGCAGTGGGCATGCTTTGAATATGTGATTTCAAACGGATATTTCCTTTGTTGCATATGTTACTACATTTAAGAGGTCTGACATATTCCTTCTGAGAATTTTACACAGACACACATATATACACACACATAGAGAAAGGTTTAACTCTTTAGTATCATCCAGTGAAATGGAAACTCCAGATCTCATTCTCTGTGTCCACTGACTTCTGCAAAGTCCCACTCAACACCAGGACTAACAGTAGGCACCAAAGTACTTTTTACCATGCTAGCTGTGTTATATGCATGCAGAGAAAATTCATACTTTGAACAAGGTTATAAAAGGAAAGAAAGTCACTACAGGTAATTTTCTTCTTATCGTTGTCCCCACCCAAAATTTTATTAACTATTCTGAAATTCTTTTATTGTTTCACAAAATTCCTACCAATGTTCACCTGAACAAGACTTTCCAGATTTCCCTTCAATTTTGCTTCAGGCAAAATTCTGTGATAACTCTAATTTAAGAGACAAAGGAGAAAAAGTTGAGGACCCATTCACAAGACTAATAAATGCATGTTCAGACACTTATTTTTCCCAGCCTAGATTACTGCTTGCTGGAAGGAAATGGATTGTGTGAGAACTACCCAAGAGGCACAGATTGTAGATGGCTATGCCATTGTTCAAGTCACTTTTGGAATGTTTGCTGAGGCACTCCCAAATACAATCAAGGCCTGAAGTAGAGCTGTTTGCCATGACTAAAATAAAACCCAGATTTAACAACAAAGGGGCTGACCACGTGGTCAGTGATCCTGTGAACTGGCTCTGTGCAAGAAGGCCATGTAATGTGTAGTAACAAGTTCAATAAAATGTTGATGTGATAACAATTGCCATACCACAAGCAAAGCAATTCTGTCCAGAGATAAGCTTCACAGGAAAACAGACTGTACCTTTTTGCCTAAGAAAGAAAGGGGAAAAACCCAAACCCTTGGAAATCATGGATCCTTCACAGGTACAGAATGATGAACAGGAACTACAGTTGTTTTTTTCAGTTTTAGGTACAGAATGATGAACAGGAACTACAGGGGGTTTTTTTCACAGTTGAAACAACTCATCCTTCTGTATGCATGTCCAACTATCTTCCAATAATTCATATTAACCACAAAAAAGTTCCAAAGGCATGAGATGAGAGTTAAGTTTTAGTGATGTCATTGCAGACCTTCAGATTCAGAGTACAATCTTACCCAATGGATCCTTATGTGGGAGTAAGGCTGTTAAAAAGGATCTTATTTCAGAGTAAATATCCAAAGTATTAGGTAGTTTACTTTCTAATTCAAACTTAGGAGTTTCAATAGGATCTTCTTTCACAGTTGGTATAACTTAGTAAGGGCCACTTCAATATTTTTAATGTTACGAATGATCAAGTACAGAACAGACGAAGAAGAGAAGAGACTGAATTTATACCCCGCCCTTCACTACCTGAAGGAGTCTCAGAGCAGCTTGCAATCCCTTCCCCTTCCCACAACAGACACCCTGCAAGGTAGGTGGGGCTGAGAGTGCTCTCTTGAGAACTGCCCTTGAGAGAACAGCTCTGAGAGAACTTGTAACTGACCCAGGGTCACACCAGCAGCGGCATGTGGAGGAGTGGGGAATCAAACCCACACTCCTAACCACTACACCAAACCAGCTCTCAACTACATACTCATCACCTCAACTGACAATGATAATGTGCACACTGCAGCTACTCTCTGCAAAATATACAGCAGTAGTGACTAGAAAATAAGCAGGCAGCCACTCTCTAAACTTTACTGAGAATTTAAGCATGGAGACACCATTCTCAAGGGCCAAAAGTGCACATGCTCATTGTAAAGTACAGAGTAAAGGTAAAGGTTCCCTTGCTCGAAAGCCAGTCGAATCCGACTCTAGGGTTGCGGTGCTTATCTCCGTTTCAAAGCCAAAGAGCCAGCGCTGTCCGAAGACGTTTCCGTGGTCATGTGGCCGGCATGACTAAACACCAAGGCGCATGGAACGCTGTTACCTTCCCACTGAAGTGGTACCTATTTATCTACTTGCAATTTCTTGCTTTTGAACTGCTAGGTTGGCAGGAGCTGGAACTAGAGACGGGAGCTCACTCCGTCATGCGGCACCCGGGTCTCGAACTGCTGAAATACCGACCTTCCACAGCCTGCAGTTCAGCATCTTAACCACTTGAGCCACCGCATACTCTAATGAAAAACTGAAACTGAGCATTCCCTCCCCCCCATATTTTCACTTGAATTAATGAAAAGAAATGGAATCTGTGGGTAACCATGGTTTTACCCCAAACAAACAAATGTAAATACTGGTTTTCTAAATCTAATACAAATTGTGTTCTTCTGAAGTTTTTTTTTTTTAAAGTATTTCATCTATAGTGATGTTTGGGCCTTTCAATGACATCCTAAGCAGACTGTAAGTTAATGGGCTTAGAAAGGTCTAATTCTTTTTAGGGTGGCACTATTACTTACTGCCTTAATTCAAGGAGGTATCAAAACAGCTATGGTACTTTCAACAGACTACCAACAACAAGGTGTGGAAGTGGGATATTTTTATCTGTGATGGCTCAAATGCATGCTCAAATCTCCCCAAGAACAAGAAGCACTCTTGCAGAGCCCAAAATATAGGACATGTGGGATTGTGAATTTGGAATATTTCTCCATCACTAATACAAACATATATTTGTTATGAAGTCTTTTAATCCTAAAGAACCTGGGTTTTGATTACTAACACAGCATGCCTCTGATATCGCTAAAGAAAGAGTATATTGTTTACTACACAACTTTATTCAAACTTCTGAGATATCACAGGGATCATGGAATAATATGGGGCTGCCAGGGTCCTAACTTCATGATAAACCCCAGTTCTATAGCATGCTAAAAATGTGTGAAAGTGACTCCCCTCCAATGGCAGTAAAGTGAGGTAACTTCCAAAACAGATTGTGTGCGAAAGAGAAAGTGACCATCTTTAAACAACCCTCAGGAAAAAAGATAGATCAAAGTGGACAGCTGTGTTGGTCTGAAGCAACAGAACAAAGTTAGAGTCCGGTGGCACCTTTAAGACCAACAAAGTTTTATTCAAGGCGTGAGCTTTCATATGCATGCACACTTCAGCAGTCAATGAACAACTGTCTGATGACGTGTGTGTGCACAGGAAAGCTCATACCTTGAATAAAACTTTGTTGGTCTTAAAGGTGCCACTGGACTCTTAACTTTGCTCCTCAGGGGAAACAAGTTCAAAGCAGGGCTTCCATTAATCTCCACCTGGTACTCCACAGGACTCTGATCTCTTCAAAATTTAAAACGACCGCCTTATTTCACTACCACTACTTGCTGTGGTCACTTCAGATAGGGGCTATTCTTTTTTCCTCACCAACATTCGTTCTTGCGCTTCCCGTTTGCTTTTACAAATCTGTGCAGGGAGGGAGGGGCTTTAGCGACTTGTTTCTTAAAGTCGAGCTTCAAACCTAACTTGAAAGTCACGAGCGTTCGTGCGAGAACACTCATTGAGGAAGGGGGGGGGAGCACCCATGTAAAGACATTCACAGGGCCGAAATACCTTGAATACCGGTATGGGAGGCAGAAACTCGACAGGGGAAGCTTCCCCCCCAGCATGTTCACGTGCTAAAGAAAGGACAACCCTGCCGGGAACAAGCGCGGTGACTCTGAGGCCTTTTCCCATTATTACTTGCCAGGTGAACGGCTCTCCCTCCCGCCCAGAGACTCCACGTCTTCCATAGGCAACGCCCCCCCCCCCCCCCCCCCCCCCCCCCCCCGACCGACCTGAGGCGCTTCTCCTGAGGGAGGGGCCAGTCTAGACGACATGACCGTCGACGTCCCGATTGCTCCGGACTCAGAGAAAGCGGGATAGCGTCAGGGGAATGGCTTGATCCGGGGTTTACTATCCTCATGCGCCTTTGCGGGTCACTGAGTTCTCTCTCTCCAAACTGCCTAGAGAGGCTGAGCTGCATTGTTTTTTCCTTCCTGTCTCTCCTCTTCTTCTCGATGGTACTCTCTTTGGCTTTCATGGCATCGTAGCTACGGTAGCCGACGAGTGCAGGAGGTCAGCTGAGAGGAAATAGGAAATGCTAATAAATCGGTCACCATCCCTCCCTTTGGCTAGAGTAGCTCCCGCTCGTCACCGTGACGTCCGTTTTCGAAGAAACGTACATGTCAGATCTTCATTCTAGGCGGATCCTATAGGATCCTATATAGAGCCTCTCCCCGCCCCATAATCAAATCACGGATTGACTTAATATCTATAGGCTACCGCGTAAAAAACTGGATCCAATACTCTATAATGCTTCTGCAGAACAAAAACAAGGCTCGAATGCATGGGTCTTCATGATCTTAACACGGGGTCTTCTTCAAACTGGACTAACAAAGACACGGACTATTCAGATCGTACAGCAATTCATGGTTCAAACATGATGCAGAAATCTTGATAATCTGAGGCACAGATTTATTTATTTATTTAATGTTGTATTTATATATTTAATATTCCGCCCTCCCTGCCAGGGTAGGCTCTGCGTGGCTTACATGAAGTTTATTGGACAATTAAAACAGAAAATATGAAGAAAACCACAACAGTATGATTATAAAAACACAAAGTGCTAGTGTGATTCATAAACGATGGTGGGCATTAGCAGATTCTCACAGATTCTCCCCCCCCCACACACACACACAAAGAATTACTGAAATACTAAATGTTCACAAAATTACATTCATCGCCATGGACTACACTGTTTCAAAAAAAAAAACAACAACAACCCACACCATTGATTCAGGGGGTGTACTAAAATGAACAACAGGAATTATCACTGAAAAAGGAGGGGTTGTTCAGTGGTAGAACATCTGCTTGCTATGAAGAAGGTCCAGGGCTCAATCCTTGGCATCTCCAGGTTTTGTTTTGTTTTTTAAAGACCTGATTGTAGGAGGCATGAAAGACCTCATAGCAAGACCCTGAATAACCAGGGCCAGTGTTCCCTCTAAGCTGAGTTAGTGTGAGCTAGCTCACAGTTTTTTAGCCTCTGGCTCACACATTTTTTTCTTCGTTCAGGAAGGATGGCCCCAGAGCAAACTAATTTATGCACTAGCCAAATCGCCAACTCACAGCTTTAATGCCAGTAGTTCACAAAGTAGAATTTTTGCTCACAGGACTCCACAGTTTAGAGGGAGCATTGATTGGCCAGGGTCAGTCTGAGTAGACAGTACTGACTTTGATGGACCAATGGTTTGATTCAGTATAAGGCAGCTTTATATGTTCATATAGGGACAGGACTGGGAGCTCATTGGATGTAATAGGGGCCAGGAATGCCAATAGACTTGCATGGACTCCATTGAAATACATTACAGCACACAAAAGCTGCAATGAAAATGCAGAAGGGAATTTGAGAAAACTGCCCTAGGTCTGGAATGACAGCCTCCAGAATGGAATTATGGTCTCTGGACCAAGATAGACTGCTCTGGGCCTAGAATGAAAGTCTTCAGACTGGATTGACAGTCCCTGGGAGTAGAATCAAAGTGTTCTGGGAAGGAAATGGCAGCTCCCAGAGTGGGATGGTGGACCCTGGAGTAGCATAAGTGTTTTGGGACTGGAATTACAATGCCCACAGTGAAATGACAGTCCCTGGGCCCAGATAAACTGCACTGGGACTGGAATGACAACCCTCAAGTGGAATGACAGCCCCTGGGACTCTGGGTCCTCACTCTGGGAGCTGTCATTCCAGTCCCAGAGCAGTGATTCTAGTCCTAGGGGCTGTCATTCCATTCTGGAGGCTGACATTCCAGTCCCAGAATATTTCTGCTACTCCAAGGGACCATCATTCCACTCTGGGGGCTGTAATTCCAGGGCTGGTGCAGGTTTCTCAAAATCCGTTCCACATTTTCAGTGCAGCTTTTGTGTATTGTAATATACTTTAATAGAGCCTGTGTAAGTTGATGGTATTCCTGGCTTCCCTTATATTCAATGGGACTTCGGGCATCTCTCATTTTTCCCAACGGGCATTCTTGTCACTTGTTTTAGTACACATGTAATGGTGCTGCCAAAGTACTGATTTCCACAGACTGAATAATAATAAATGCGGAATCAGCACTTTGTGCTGGTGTGGTGTCACAATTAACACCAGACAATGACTAAGTTGCCATCCTCCCGGTGGGATCCGGAGAGCTCCCAGAATTACAACTGATCTCCAGAGTACAGCTCCCATGGAGAGAATGGCGATTTTGGAGGGTGAACTCCATAGCACTATACCATTGTTTGGTCTCAACTAGCATATATTTAGAAACCAAGTCTATTCCCAGTAAAAAAGTGTTTTAACAGATCAGGAGCATGTGTGGTAGAGGAGTGCCCAGCTTCTTCCACTAGTATTCTGGTTGAATCTCAGTTCATTCCCATTGTATATGTAGACCATGTTGTTTGCTTGTCAACATATGACCTTAGGGTTGCCAACTCAGAGTTGGAAATTCCTGGAAATTTGGGGGTGAAGTCTGGGGAGGGCAGGGTTTGGGAGGGAGAGCGGTCTCAGCAGGGTATAATGCCATACAGTCCATCCTCCAAAGCGGCCATTTTTCTCAGAGGGAACTGGCCTCTGTAGTCTGGAGATCAGTTGTAATTCTGGAGGATCTCCAGGCCCCACGAGGAGGTTATCAACCCTCCTTTTGACTAAAGTTTGCTAACAAATAAAATTAGCACATCATATACAGCGATTAAAAAGTAATCACAAAATTACCAGCATTGTATGGTAAGTTATTATTAGAAATATTTTTAGACGATATCACCTTGAGTATGACCCTGAAGATTAACAGACAGATCCCAATGGCTCTAATTGCCTTGTTTGCCCTTCGATGCATACTCATGAGTTGTATTTGAGATAATGGGCACTGTGTATATTTTTAGAGGTCAGAAGATACTTTGAAAGATTCTGTTCTATTCTGTGATATTCAGGGGTCTTGTTGTAGAAAAAGAGCTGCCGGAGCTCATTAGCATAACTCATTAGCATAACTTATTTGCATATGCCACGCCCCCTGACATCGCCGGAAGTGACAGAAGGCCACACCCCCTGACATCACCGGAAGTGTGTCAGAAGGCCCGGCTACTTACCCTCCTGCTTCGTCCTCATTCCCGAACAGAATGAGGATCGAAGCAGAGGGCGGGGTGAAGAAGCAAATGGGAAGATCTCCATTATTTAAATCATGTAACAGCATACCCTCCACATGATACAAAATCTACACATTTCAGTACAGGACTAAGTTATTGGAGTTTGAGTCCAAAGACTGCTTTGTTAATTGTACATGTTTGCCATTCTCTAAACTTGTACAGCTGACTTTTCCCCAAATAAATTAGACTATGCCACTCCAGTTATATTCGATCTATATTTGATCTCATAAAGATGAGAAATACTGCCTCAAGTGAGTTACTAGTAGCCAAAGATTTGGCATTTTAGTTTTTAGAGGAAGGTTCCATTCAGCCTCCATCTGAAGGCTCACAGCCTTCAAAATTCTATGTGCAACTTGTAACAGAGTGGGGAATTTAGGGTTGCCAGTTACCTGCCCCCCCCATTCAACAGCAGAAAAATAAAGTAAAAAAAAAAATCACTGCTAGTACAACAGCATTACATCATTTTCAGGGAAAACCTGGAAGGACCTCCTGCCTCTCTAGGCATTGCAGGGAAATCTGTGGTTTTACCACAGAGTGTCAGGCTATTTCTGCAGAGAAAAAACATCACTTCTGGGTTTTCGCTGAAAGTGATGTCACACCATTGCACTAACAGTGCCCCCCTCCAGACTCCCACTGGGTGCCAGCCCCTGACTGGCAACCCTAGGGTTGCCAAATCCAGCTTGGGAAATTTCTGGAGATTTGAGGGAGAAGCGTGGGGAAGATGGAGTTTGGGAAGGGGAGGGAGGGAGTTCAGCAAGGAAGTAATGCATTGGAGTCTACACTCCAAAGCTGCCATCTCCTCTAGAATAATAGACTCCTAGAATCATGGAGTTGGAAGCAGGCCCGTAGCTAGCAAGGGGCCCATGCCCCCCCATGGTTTTAAAGGGCCTCTCCCCCGATTCTCAGCTCCCCCCCTCCCCCAAGCAGCTCGGAGCAAGAGTAAGTGCCTTCCGGCTGTGTATACTACGACCCATCCACGTCTGCTTTTCTTAACACTGCAGCCGCGGAATGACCCCACTTCCTGGAGGCGCCGTCTGCTTTGGCCGAGTCCAGGCAGAAGACTCTGCCCCCTCTTCCCCCTCTACAGAGGCAAAGGATCTTCACCGGGATGTACTAAAAGGAAGGACAGGATTGCCCATTGGAAACAATGGGAAACACTTGAAGGCTCATTGGAAATAATGGGAGCCAGGAATGTCAATTGACTTTCATGGGCTCCATTGAAATACATTAAAGTACAAGTAGAGTTGCAATAAAAATGTGGAATGGATTTTCCATTAGGGTACTCTGGGACTGGAATGACAGGCCTCATCTTGGAATGACAGACCCTAGGAGTAACAGAAGTCTTTTGGGACTGGGATGAGAGGCCCCAGAGTGGAATGACAGCCCCTGGATACAGTAGGAGTGGTCTGGGGGCCTGTCCACTCTGGGGCCTGACATTCCAGTTTCAGAATACTCCTACTACCCCCAGGGGCTGTCATTCCACTCCATGGTATTTCATTCCAGTCCCAGAATGCTTCTGCCACCCCCTGGGGCTGTCATTCCACTCTGGGGCCTCTCATCCCAGTCCCAGAAGACTTCTGTTACTCCTAA